TGAGGTATCTAAGAAATTTTTATCCCAGCAAAATGTTCTGCTAACAAACAAGTCCCAAAAAAGGACGTTTCCCCAGAAGACTGTAATGAGCTTTGTGCTCATCAGGATTTGCTAGAGAATTAAGTAAAATGCCACTCATATTGGCACTTAATATCAATTTGACTTATTTAATTTGTTCATGTGGGTCTCCTATTTTTTTCTCTTAAATAAACTGCATGTATATAGGAAGAAGGGACCAGGCCTTACATGCATTTCTTTTACATCTTCCTCTCCTATCTCACCTCCTTACCCAAACAGTGCAGAGATTACAAACTGGCCCCCATGTGAGGACAAGATACAATTGATACAGTTTGTTGCTTTTTTCAGAGTGGTTTTGTTTTGCACAGAAAGTTTGCTTTATTTAGGAGACCAGCACCTGGGGAAACAGTGGATTCCTGTCCAGAAACCAACTGCAAAATTCTGCCAGACCATGAAGGTTTTTAAAGGGAGAATCATTCAGGGAAAGGGTCAGAGTCTTTGTTATCGTCCACTGTGTACAGACTTCCTGAGTGTGTTTTTGAATAATTTTGAGTCAGTTGCCAATCTTTCAACAGTTAGGAGTTTTACATCGGAATCCACATTCTTTATTTCTTGAAAAATCAGTTATCTGGCAACCCTGGGTAAGGCCTCACACAAAGGTTTATTAGCTAGTGCTTAAGGCCATCTGTCCCCTTTACAGAAGGAATGTATCCTCTTATTTACCACCTTCTTTCTGCTTGTTTTATTCCCTTATTATCTGCCTGGCCCCTGAGGCCTGGGCATTTACAATTCTTGCAGAAGATACCCAATAAATGAACTGAGAACAGAAACACCACACTCCTTAATAAAGCCAGTCAGCTCTTAATACCTGTCTTCATGGGCAACATGTTTGTTTTAAGCAGCTAAAATCAAAATGCTTATCTCAGTCATTAGCAGAAGGCATTAACCTTCCCAACTGATTTTAACTATTCTTCCTGGGCTTGCCAGGAACTGATAATGGATTAGAGAAATAGTCAACCATAGGAACAAAAAGCAGTCAGCCTAAATAGTCACATGAAAATAATTGAGACTCAGAGAGCATAACTGTGTTCCATGAACTCTGAGTGTTCCCTAAAAACACGTGGACATCACAGCACTCATGATGCTGAGTGTTGCTGGCAGCTGCCCAATGAATCTTGATACAGAAAATCTAAACCCTCTCATTAACTCTAACCCTATATTGATTTCTCCTCTTCTGAACCTTTGTTACAGACTACTGTGTTCTAAAATTGTTTTCATGTCTTGGTGCTCCCACTCAATAGTAAGTTCCTCATAAACTCTTGTGATATTCTTCTCACACCTAGCATCCAAGATCAGGGTGTTCTTAACCTGGACTGTCTTCAGTCACAGGCAAAATCCAATGGGTCATTTAAAGGAGCATACCCCATGGTCAAGGTTTCAAGACTGGAAAAGAAATTAATTTTAAGGTATTTATAAAAGGGGCAATAGTTATGAAATGTATAGTGGGTTTGATGACACCAATCTAGTCTGTTATTATTCCCAGCTTTCTGTCATCTGCACATTTGCAAAGTATAAATCTGATGTCTTCAGGAAGGTCATGGGTAAACATATGAAGCTACACAGGGACAGCTTATGCATCTTGTTGGTAAAGACTAAATGAATAAGGAACAAAACTTCTACTCTTTGGGAACATTAGTCTAATCAGGTACAACCTTATAATTATAATACTTTATCCATACTTTTCCACCTTGTCTGAAAGGATACAACAAGAATATGCCAGCTATCTTTAAATCAAGATTCACTAAACTTGAGAATTCTCCTTATCTGCAACAAATTTAATGATTCTTTCATAACAGGAAGTGCAGTTAATTCGACATAAACTCCATCTTTATGAACCTCTGCAGTTTTGTAAAAGACACGTGTTTCTTCTCTAAATGTACATAGCTATACTAATCCATGCTCAAATTATGCTGAGGGACAGTTTCACGTCTGGTCTCCAGAACGTACCTTTCCCTCATTTTTGAAAACAGGGATGATATTTGTCATCTCCTGACTTTTGGTAAGTCTTCTAGTCTCCTAATTTTTCAAAGTTCACTCAGTGGTTTCCCTATTCTAGCTTCAAGTTCTTTTATCTGGGAAATGGTTTAACTGGGCCTAAAGACAAGCACATCTGCAGCAGCTAATGTAACTCCTGCTATCAACTCTTTTAAGTCCACCATTAACACCTCCAGTTTAAAGACCTTTTGCTTAATGTTAAAGAATTAAATTGAACAGTTTTAGCTGAGCCATTACCTGCTAGCAAAGCAACACTTTTTCTCTACATAATCCCTTCTCATTTTGTACATCAACAGAATATTAACTGAGGGCTACAGTTCTAGGCATTGTGTTGTGCTGTGGTGCTTTTCTTATAAAAAGGCTAAACACCTCTTCTCTTGTTAATCTTCCTTTTAAAATCAGAGATCATTAAAAAGCTGTATCATCAACACATGAAAAGACATCATTGTTTTTGTCCTCAAGTTTCCTGCATCTTCTCTTATTTATCAGAATCGTTTTCAGTCCTACAATGTGATTTTTAGTTTTTATAACCTTCCCAATATGCTGAGCCAAATTTCTTGTTAGAGACATTCATCACAGAATCATACCTGTAATATTATTGAAAACCTACTTTACTACTTCTTGGGCAAGATACACTTAGCAGACTCCGAGTCACATTCCTTCTATCACTTGTGCATCACTAGAGAGCGCCTGTAAAGCAGAACAGAGTCAAGAATCACAGTGCATCTTGAAGCTGACTGAGAAAACGGCCTGAAAGTGATCTGAAGCAATGTCAGGCTGGCAGTCTGATGATCTCTATGTTGGTCTCATGTTTGACCGAATTTACAAAGAGTCTTGGGTATGTCAGGTAGGATTTCATTTTCTACCCATGCTTAAAAATAAATAATAATGTATTGCTGTCTCTGTTCAGATTTACACATTTTATAAGCTACAACATGACACATGAGAGCTCGTGAATATTTACCCTACCCTTCCCCATACACATCACCACTTTGGGTGGAAACCGCTCTCATTTATACTTCTGTTTATACTCCAGGTTTGGCTGAGTGGAAAAGTCAGAAGAAAAGATATGCCAGGAAGAAGCACATATTATTCCACATGAAAATGGAACAGGAAATATATCATGTAAGTTCTATGACCTGAATCTGTGGGTAGATCACATGGCTCATGTACTTTATGACAGAACTTCTTGCTAGTTATCCATTACAGAGTAAAATGCAAAAGGAAACGTTAAGGTATAATAAACCTATGATATACAAACCATCTACTCCCAAGAGAGAAGGAGAGCAAGGTCTTTTAAAAGGTAAAATGTATAGTCAATTTAAAATCAGGAACAGTGGTGCTTAGGGACATATATTACCCAGTAATGCTTCTGAACATCAGCTTGGTTGCCAGGAACCAAGAATTTATTGAAGTCAAAGAGCAGTCAGGCAAGATATGTTGGGAAGTGTGGAAAGAGATTTTTGTGAAATGGGCTGAAGACATGGAATCTGAGAGGCTTAGTAAGGGGTGAGATGAAATTTCATGTTAAAAATCTTTTTTAAGGGTGGAAAAATTAAAATTTTTGTGGTAAGTAGCAAGTCAATTAAAAGATTCTATGGTAGACACAGAACACTTCACACACATAGGGCCTTCTTCTTAGGAAGGGTTTTCAAATAACTATCTTCTGTTGATATTCTATCACAGTAACTGTGGTGGGCAAAAAAATGTCCCCCACCCCCACCCCGAGATGTCCACACCCAAATCTTGGGATCTGTGAATATACTACACTACATGACAACAAGGAGTAAGGGTGGAGAGGAAATTAAGGTTGCTAATCAGATGACTTTAAAATAAAGGGAGTATTCTGGATTATCCAGGGGGGCTCAATGGAATCATAAGCATCCTTTACAGCAGTGGTTCCCAACCTTTTTGATACCAGGTACTGGCTTTGTGCAAACAATTTTTCCAAGAACTGGGTGGGTGAGGGGGTGATTTCAGGATAACTCAAGCAAAGCAGCTGCCTTGGTGGCTTAGTTGGTAAAAGAATCCACTTGCAATGCAGGAGACTGCCTGCAATACAGCAGACCCGGGTTTTATCCCTCGGTCAGGAAGTTCCCCTGGAGAGGGACACGGCAACCCACTCCAGTATTCTTGCATGGAAAATCCCTTGGACAGAAGAGCCTGGTGGGCTACAGTTCATAGGGTCACAAAGAGTCGGATGGCATGACTGAGTGAGCAAACTACCATCAAGAGCATTACATTTATCGTGCACTTCATTTCTGTTATTATTACATCAGTTCTACATCAGATCATCAGGCGTTAGATCCTGCAAGTTAGGGACTTATGATTTAAAGTATCAGAACTGGAACTTTCCTGGCAGTCCAGAGGTTAAGACTTATCTTCTAATGCAGCGGGTGCAGGTTCAATCCATGCTCAGAGAGTTAGGATCCCATATGCCTCAGCAGCACCCCCCCCCCACCCCCCGCCACCAAAGCAAAACATAAAGTAGAAGCAATATTGCAACAAATTCAATGAAGAGTTTTAAAAAGTGTCAGAATGATAAGGCCTGATAAAGACTCAATTGGCCTTTTCTGGCTGCGAAGGAAATCATGACTGGAGAACACAGGTAACCTCAAGAAGCTGGAAACAGCAAGAAAACGGATTCTTCCCTGGAGCCTCCAGAAAGGAAGGCAGTTCTGTGGACACCTGGCTCTCACCCAGTGAGACCTATGTCAGACTGGTGACCTACAAAACTGTAAGATAATACATTTATGTTGTTTAAGCTGCTAATTTTCTGGTCGTTTGTTACAGAAACAGGAAGCTAAGGCAGTAACTTCCATACAAATGCTTTGGAGGAAGCAAAGGCTTATGGCAATATTAGCATTCTAAGCAACGAAACAGTTCCTCTTTCTGAGACGAAAAAAGAAAACAACACACTCATTCACCTTTTTATAGGTTTTCTCTTCATTTTGTTTCCCAGGTGCCGTGTCTCCATTCTCAGCAGCAGACGACATCTATAAGAAAGAAGTGGACCTGTTTGAATTTAGAAGTTCTACACTGAAATACAATAGGCTAATAATATTGTTACCTAGAGAGTCTACTTCGGTTAATTACATTTTCGTTGTTATGGCTGTGGTCTCTAAGAAAGGAAGAAATTTCTCAAAATACTAAGAAAAAAAAATTCTGTATTCCCCAATCTTTCCAAAATAACGCTTTACTTATAAACCATTTTGGTAGCATACTTTACTCCATATGCTCTAAGAAAGGTGCCATGGAAGTCCAAGCCCAGATCATGTGTATAAGTTTCTTTCTACAAACTCTTAAACCCTTTTCCTTCTGGTTATATATGTCTCCTGTAAAAATATCTGGAAAGTACCAAAAAATATGAATCACAACAAAGCAATTACTCAGTTCTACTGCCCTTGGGCAACTCTACTACTCACATTTTGGTATATTTGTTTCCACTTTTGTTCCATGTACTTTCATATGAAAAATATTATGATACCATCTTAATACAGCACGTCTCACTGAATTTATGTAATGAGCATTTTCCCATTTGAATATAAAAACCTCAGTGTAGGAATAATTTTTGCTAGTTGCAAGAGACACCACTGTGTGAATACAATAGTGTGTTAATACTTTAGTTAACAACGCCAATATTGAACGACAGTTGACGTGGTTCAGGGGTTTTGTTTCCACAAATAATGTAATAGTAATGATTTTGTGCTTCTATCTTTGTCCAACTTCAATGTTTTATTGAACTAGTTTCCCAGAATTATTAGGTCATTAAAAAATTGAAAGCTCTTACCACATATTGCTAGATTTCTTTCCTAGAAGAACATACCCATTCACACTATCAGCAGTGAGTGGGAGCTGGTTTCATTACATGCTTAGCAATGACTATGATCATTTTAACTATCTTTGCTAATTGGACAGGTAAAAGAAAGTACCTCCTGACTTTAATTTGCCTCTTTGAAAATTGTTAAGTGAAGGTTAACATTGTTTATATGTCTTTTTTTTTTTTTAGCTCTCTGTATTTCTTCTTTCAGCTTTTCTATTATTTTGCTCACTGATCTATTGGGGTTTAGTGTCTTAGGTATTGACTTTTTACCTTTTTAGTGGTTTCCTTATTGGTGTTTAATGTATTAAGGTTATTAAGCTGCTTACAGCACATTATTAGTATCTTCCATGCTCCTTTCTTTTAATTTGGTTTATAATTATGGCATGGAGAAGTTTTACATTTTTATACTTAAAACTATTGACTGTCTTTGTGATTTATTCCAATGCTTTTATATAAAAACTTTTTCATTGTGAGGTATCAGATATTCAAACGTGTTCCTCTCATCTTTTAATAATAAGATTTTTGTATATTCTAATTCATCTGACTTCTTAAAGTCAGTTACTTACGTGGTAAATAAGGGTGACGACATAATCAGAGAGCTGTGATATTTAAGGGCCACATCTTAAATTGCAATGAAGAGCATTCTATACACCAGAGAGAAACTTCTGACTTTCTCATAAGACTTTGAAGCACATTTTAAATCCTGGGCTTTTAATAAACAGTGTGGGTGAAGACTAAGAACCTGCCAGCCATTTCTCTATACTGGAACAAAATGACTGCCACGAGCTGGATGTGACTAAAAACCACCCAAGAAAATGAAAGTATGGACCGCGGCAAGACAATCTCACCAGACCTATGACTGCCTACCAACCCAAGCATTCTCTTAGATAAGAGTTCAGTTCCATTCAATCTATCCATATTAGAATATAAAGTTTTCAAGGACAGATGTTTCATACACTACTGCTTCCCACTCTCTATGTGCTTAATTTATTAAAAGAATAATTGACTTTTCTAGTCTCTTCATGGTATTTTGGTGAGATGTGAATAATATATTAGTAGAATTAGAATATCTGATATGTTTTATAATATCAGGCTCAGGATAAAAACCAAACCCAATCCTGTATCATCCCTCTTGAAAGCTCAAATTACATAATAACTTTAAGAATATACAGGGAGTAATTGAATATTTGATCCCAATTTCTATATGAGGGTATGTTTAGTGTAATTTAGTACATACTACTACTAATAAGTAAGAGTAGGGTTTTCTTTAATCCTCAACTGTTTAATAGGGCCCAGAGAATGAAGATATCCGTAAAGAATGCCATTTCAGTAATTTCACTTTATCTAAGCCTTTGCAGCTTTTAAAACTGAAACACTTCAAGAGCATAGCTGAAGGGGCTTGAAAATACAGCCTTAATGAGGGGTTGACAAATGGCATGAATGAAGGACAGGTGATTAGATGGTTTTTATTATTTTGCAAATCATTCCTTACTGGACAGTAGGACAGAGGAGGAGAGAAATATGTAAGCTTAATATATTAAAAAAAACAAAACAACAATTCCCTTTAGACAGTACAAGAGAGATAATAATGTTAAAGGGAGGCCATGAGATATCACCTGGCTTCAAAGTTGTTTTTTGTTTTTTTTTGTTTTTTCCTCTGTAGGATGATGATTTTTTTTTTTTTGGTAGGATGATATTTAACAAAGCCCACGTGGACCTATTCACCATGTAGGATATCCATGTAGGAGAGGCAAATGAGATGCTTGGGGATGCCCTGGTCAACTGTAAATGTTATTAAAATGGTCACAGTGATAATTACAGTGGCTTCCCAGGTGTCTCAGTGGTAAAAGAACCCATCTGCCAAGATTCAGAACTGGGTTCGATCCCGAGGTTGGGAAGAGCCCCTGGAGGAGGGCATGGCAACCCATTTCAGTATTCCTGCCTGGAGAATCCCATGGACAGAGGAGCCTGGCGGGCTATAGTCCTAGGGTTGCAAAGAGCTGCACACAACTGAAGCGACTTACCATGAATGTGATAATTACTGTTTGTTCCTAGACTTGTAACGTTCTGCACTAGTTAAGGTACATCACTTATATAATAACTATGGAAGCCAAGGTAAGTATGGATTAAAAATATTGTTTTTAAGACCCAGAGGGATTGGGTGGAGAGGGAGGTGGGAGGGGGGACCGGGATGGGGAATACATGTAAAAAAAAAAAAAAAAAAAAAGATACACTATGGTTGTGATAAAAAATAAATTAAAAAAAAAAAAAGACTCAAAAAAAAAAAAAAAACCAATAGTCTATAGAAAAACAAGCAACGAGAAAAACTTTTACCCCAGAAAATAAATATATTTTAAAAAATAAAAATAAAAAATAAAAATATTGTTTTTAAAAACATTATAATCATATATATTTCTACATATGAGTACAAGGAAGAAGGAAAGACATTCACAGAAGTACTGGTAAGTATCTATAGATGATGAGATTGTGAATGCTTTGTGTTTCCATGTTAACTTTTTGCTATATTGTCTAAGTATTCTGCAGTAGGCACTGCTATATTTAAAAGTAACGAAAACACTAACACGTGTCAGATATTTAACCACACACAGTAATTAACAGCAGAGACCATATCTCCTGGGTTCTGCCCCTTTCAGCGTAACAACATCCACAAAATTTCCTCTTCCTATTTGCTTATTTTCTGTTTTTAATCTGATACTGTCAAAGTTAAAGGCCAAGAACTAGATACATGATTTATAGTATTTATAAACATAATGAATCCACTGGAAATAATTAAAATATAGACTGTACTTCCTTACCTTTGTAAATGAAATGGCCAGTCATCTGTAGTTGGTTGTGCTGAGTGGCCTATTCATTGTTGAGACTGTTTCCCTTCCCAGGTTTCTGTTAAAATAGAAATCACTGGTCATTATTTATTCACACCTCTCTTTCATCTCTCAGAAAGGATGAGGTGGCTACAGGGATATATATATATATATATGTACACTGCAGTCAGCTAAGGGGCCTCCCCGGTGACTCAGATGGTAAAGAAGCTGCCTGCAATGCGGGAGACCTGGGTTCGAACCCTGGGTTGGTAAGATCTCCGGAGAAGTGAATGGCTACCCGCTCCAATATTCTTGCCTAGAGAATTCCATAGACAGAAGAGCCTGGCAGGCTACATGGGGTCCCAAAGAGTCGGACATGACTGAGCAACTTTCATTCACTCACTCAAAATTAAAACAAAGGAAGCAATGTGTGTATAAATAAAGGGAAGATAAAGGTGAGGAACAAGATGGTGCCAGCATTATAGGGTGTACAAAAAATGTGCACTATGTAATTCTGTAGAGTCATTGATACCCTGGTCAGTCTCCCGTTGATTCTGAGATTCCTAGTGGTTATAGCATAGGAAGACATAATCAGTTACATAAATGCCCAATTCTTATAAGATAAAAACAAGTTAGTTGCTCAAATCACTGGGGATTGAGGCTGGAGTGAACATTTCTCCTGTGGGGCTTCATAAAAGAGACCCCATGTGATGTGTGGATAATTTTTCACTATTATCCCTGTGATAAATCATATGATTTTCATGAGGGTTGTTTCAATAACACAACTTCAAAGGAGAGTTCAACAAACCTTTTCTCTTGTTATGCTTTTATACAAAAGAGATACTTGCTCATGGTAACCAATTTTAAAAACACAGAGAGTTTAAAATAAAAATGGGCTTCCCTGGTGGCTCAGATAGTGAAGCATCCACCTGCCATGCAGGAGACCTGAGTTCGATCCCTGGGTCAAGAGGATCCCCTGGAGAAGGGAATGGCAACTCACTCCAGGACTGAGGAGCCTGGTGGGCTACAGTCCATGGGGTCACAAAGAGTCGGACAGGACTTAGCACCTCACACACACAGAAAGTAAAAGTGAATAAGGTTCCACCAGTATCTCCCCAATGAGATGAGATAATGGGAATAGTTTGTTGACTATCCTCCCAAAATCTTACCTATCCTATACATACACATGAACACACTTATTTCAGCCATTTAGTTTTATTGGCATTTTAAATATATCTCTTCAGAAGGTCTATATTAAGAATCTAACTCATTTACAAATAACTGCATTGTTTCCACAAAATGGATGTACCATCATTGAAACAAACACTCCCTTCTGGGAGAACATACAGAC